TTAATTTAAAATTAAAATATAATAAGTTATTATATGTCATGAGATGAAGTTTTATATATCATGAATGATTTCTTTGAAAATTCAAAAATTTAAACATAAATCTAATTTCACTACTCTTAATAGTAAGCAAATATTTAATTTTTATATGTTTGAATTTAAAATTAATTATGATGACTTTCATTATAAAACATATAGAAAATATGTTTTAAATCATATTTAAATAAAAAATTCAAGAATGCGAGGATATTAGCAAATTTTGAGAAACAAGAAATACCAGCATTAATCAATGTTATTAATATTAAAATTCCTAAAAAAATTACTTGATTTAAGTAAATTTGAGAATGATGATATCTTTTTTGATGATAATATTATGATTAAGAAATTGAATCATATCATGAATATTAGATTTTGTTGCATACACTCTAGTGGAAGCAACAATGTGGAATGAGATGTTGTAATTTTCCAACAACCAGATTTGAAAAGCAGTATAGTTTTAAACAATCAGAAGTATGTGAAATGTAAATAAATTCACAAATTAGATTACAATATCAATTATATTTAAATACAACGTAAAAATTAAAATCAATGGAGAAAAAATCACTCATAAAATGATGTAATCTATGATAACACTTAATCTTTGATTACTAAATGTTATATAATTTAATTTTTTATGTGTACTTATAAATCATCTTGAATTAGATAAATCTTGTTTCAATTTTATTATTGGATATTTGGATAAAAATGATCTTGGTGAATATAGTTATACGATTTATGATGTGATTTAAAAATATGTAATATAATATTTACAAATGTATATACAGTATTTATATATCCACATAATATGTATAATATAGTATTTAATATCCACATAACAATATGCTTGTAAACCTAGTAATAAAAATAACTGTGTTTGAATCATAATTATTTGTAATTGATAATGACAAAGTTTAGTTATTTTATTTTTTACTTACAAATTTTGGCTTTATATCATGATTTTTTGACTAAATATCATTGTTTGACGGACTTGATTGAAATCATAATTGTAATCTGATATATGGTAAATGGTAAATGGTAAATAGACCAAGCCCGTGGGACCCAAAGGGTCAAAAGGCTAAAAAACACAATACAAACAACTCCAAACTAGGAGAGAACCAAAAGAACCCCCTAGCTAGTGCCCAAAGCACTAGAACGGTAACTAATAATATCTCTAATGTAACAACCTAAATCATAAGGCTCGAGTTGAAGCAGAGAAAAGAAATTCTCGACATCAACTTTATGCGCCACTCGAATCTCTACATACCTAGAACAAGTAAGAAATACATGCTCTTCATCCTCAACTTTTCTTCCATCACATAGCCTACAAATACGTTCACTCCTATCAATGTTCAACCAACGCCCTTCTTCAATCCCAAGACTATGAGATCCAGTTCTATGTCTAGCAATAATATGACGTAAAGAAGTAGATATCTCTGCAAGTAAGTATCCTTGCTCACAATAAACAAGCATAGGATTCACATGAAGTTGATAAAACTGCATCTTGGTGCCTCGTGTGCTCCACATAATGCTGAGAAATTCCTCCCTAATACGCTCGCGTAGGGCAATAGGTTGCAAATTCCAATCGAGTTCCGTCACATTCCACCTCAAAGACCAAGTCACCAAATCTGCAAACCAACCCTTGGGACGTGTGGCATGCAGAGCTTCAAGAGGAAGTCGAGAAGCATCAAGAGATCTCACTCTTTTGACGTAAGTGATAGTCAAAAAGAGAGCTTCAGCCTCAAGAGGTAGACAACCTGTTTCCGCAAGAAGAATTGCATAAGAAGTTTGGGTCCTCACACCCAATTCTTCTTGTAAGAAGATCTTTTGCACCCTCTCCAAACGCTGCCAACCTGTCTTCTTACAACCAGGACCCCACACTTGTGTTCCATATAAGATAACGGGGAACACTAAGCTCCTGAATAAGAATTTCCTAAGACTCCAAGACACTAGATGAGCTCCTCTACATCTATTTAGCAATGAATATAGAGCTTTGAAACCAGCTTCTACCCTCTTTTGCACACAAAGTGCCCAACTATAATCAGATGAGAAATCAATGCCCAAATATTTGTAACTTTTCACTTGTTCCAACTCTAATCCTTTGTAACAGAAAGAGAGCTTGGATCTAGTGCCCACAAGAATGACTTTGGACTTCTCCAAATTGACTTCCATCTGATTTTGAGTACAAAAGCTAGCCAAAGTGTCAAGGTGTTTCTGTAAACTAGTGGCATCACGTGCTAGTAATATGACATCATCTGCATACAAAAGAGCTTTGATGACAAAGCCTCCAAGTTTAACACCTTCGCTATCACAATCCTCCAACCACCTTTCTATATCATCTATGAAAACTCCAAAGAGAGTGGGAGAGAGAGTACAACCTTGAATGACTCCAATGGTGCTGATAATCTCTTCGGTTTGAGAAGTGTTGATCTTGGCCCGAACTGAGTGGTATAATGCAGCCACCGCTGCCAAGAGATCTGATGGTACTCCAATGGCTTGCAATCTTTGCCATAAAAGCTCACGAGGTACTGTGTCAAAAGCTTTCTTGAAATCAATGAAGGCACAAAACAAAGCTTTTCCATTACCCTTGGATTTCTCCCATAAAACACGTAAAACCAAGATATGGTCTATAGTGTTGAATGTAGGACGAAAACCAGATTGGAACCGCGCTCTCTTCTGACAAGATTCAGCCCATGTGCTCAACTTTGACTCCACCAATTTGCCAAATAACTTGGCAAAAATACTACCCACCATGATAGTGCGATAGTTTGTCACCAAGGCCTTGCTCCCAGATTTGTGAATAGGAACAATCTTCCGTAGAGACCAAGATGAAGGAAAGCCATGAATAGCAGCATCCTCTAACACTTTCGTGAGTATAGGTCCAATAGCATCTCCTCCCCACTTGAGAAGTTCAATGGAAAGCCCATCCAAATCCTCACATTTACCATTTGCCAATTGTCTGAGTTGAGTCATCACTTCAACTTCTGAAAATAAGCCTGGATTTCCTTCACAATGTGGCATAGATGCAACATTGGGAAAAAAATAAAGCTTTTCAGCAAAAGAAATCAAAGACTTGGGATCAAGAGTAGGTTTAGAAGATCGTACTGCCAACCGCCTCCAAAAGGATTTGGGATTCTCCAAGAGCTCCTTTGTCAAGCACTCTTGCTTCTGCCTCAAAAATGCGCGTTTCTTGGACTTCACCAAGTCTTTGTAAAGTCTTGTCATAATCAATATATTAAAGGTGAAGTCACATTGAAAATAAATTTTAATATTTTTTTAATGTCATGTTGTCATCTCAATTATCTTTTGAGAATTTGAAATGTATCAAAGATGTGTTTTTATGTATCATTATGAGTTTTTTTTATTAAATTATTACTTATAAATTAGTAAAAATATCATTTACTAATCTTGATAATGTTTAATGATCATTAATATTTACGTTGAAATAACATAAGTATATAGGCAATAAAGTTTTTAAATTAAGTATGTGACATTTTTATAATGCTGATTTTCTAAGTTTTATAAAGTAAATTCTCTTTATTTCCCATATTATTTTATCATGCGATTTTGAATTATTTTTTTTATTATTTAATTGATGATTTAAAATAAAATCATTTAATTATTTTTGAAATAAAATATGACTGTGAAGTACCCAACAAATAATTTATTTTTTAATGACAAACTAACGGAAATCATACTACAAAAAAAAAACGTGATTATTTTATGATTAGTATTAAACTAGCATAAAATGTATGTTAATGTAAGCGATATATATTCAAACGGAGAAATAAAATCGATATATAAAATTTTAAGCATAATGACATTGAATCATATATAAAATTTATGACACAGATGAAATAATAATGATAAGACGTATACAGTTTAAAAATGTTGACATTTTTTATACAAATAATAAAATTTTTGTCTATATATTCATGAACCACATGAATAAAAAAAATAAATATTTCTAGTAGCTATCAATGCATCGTTATACTATTTCATTTTTGATATACGTCTTCTTAACTTGTAAAAACACACGAATATAAATAAATAATTGAATAAATGAGAATTATCAAGATAGTATTTATTTAATAAGTTGCACTTTCTTAATTTAAAATTTATTGCATTTTTATTAATTTCATGATATATGTCATATCCTTCAAAAATTTAAGATTTTAAGATTCATAAGCTAATAGAATTATTCATGTTAATAAAAATTTATGTATAAACCACTCTCATCATCAGCGCACATTATATAAGCAATGAAGAATTACAATTTTATTTTGAATAGTAACCTTTTTCAAAAACTATATATTCACAATTCGTAATTTAAAGTCATGAATATGGTTTTATCAACAACTTTCAAGAGTCATAACATAAAAAATTACGTAAGAGATAGAATTCTAGAATGTTCATTAATCTAAAATTTAATAATATATTTGTAATTAATACCAACTATCTAATTTTTTTAACTAAAAATAATTTTAGAAAAGTAAAAGAGAATTATCATGCAATTTGATATGAAAAAGAAAAATGCGTTGCAACATATCTATTATACACCATGTATATATATATATATGGTCGATGACGACATTGGGGATGATTTTGACTCTATCCGAGAGGCATAATATAATATAATATATAATAGAGGCACTAGTTATTATCATAAGGCTAGCCTCGTTTTCTTATTTTTCCATGGGGAACAAGATCATGGAGTCCTCCCATCCTTTTGACATCGATTTGCCCCCACTACAAGATCAACTTACTCTTTTATAGCTTCTGATGAAAAGTCATAAATATCACTATTGAAAGATTTAAAGCCCTAACAGAGCCCTAACTTGTAAGTTTTCTGTCATGAAGAGAAGAGAGCGAAAATTATAGAACATCTTCTACATGGTTACAATTTCTCTCCGCACCAAATTGTATGTTTTTTGAAGTTCTTGTCTACACATCTCACAGTAGGGCTTGGTCGAGTCGCTTGACATATTGTATGTGTATTCGCGAGTGTGTCGGATGGACGGAGGGAGAAGTTCCCAGCGTCGCTGGATGTAGATTTTGATGCAGTGGACTCGTCAATGCGTCAATGCGTCAATGAATGAGTCAGAAAGCTGCCGAGTTACACTGTTCAGTGCAAGGCACGACATTGCGATCGAAAAGAAAGAACGAGCGATGGGCTTTTGACAACTGAAGCAAGATCCAGGCGAGCCCCGTACTTCCAGGATTTGATCGTTTGCGCTCTCGTTTTGCGCCTGAAGTGCCACCAAACTGATGTATCGATGAACGGGATGGCTGGTGATCTGATCGAACGAGAATTTCACTAATTGATTGAAATTGCGTCGGTGGAGATCAAAGGAAACGGAGAGCAGGGCAGATAATTTTGATTTTCGGCGGATACCCAGATGGCGGGTTCTGCCATTGATGAGGTGACTACAATCGGGGGCATTGCCACTGTTTCGGTGCTACACTCTTTCATTCCTACTCACTGGTTGCCCTTCTCCATCGTCGGACGTGCACAGAAGTGGTCTATAACCCGGACACTTATTGTCAGTAAGTTACTTATCAAATGCAGCTTTACCTGGATTTTTGCAACTCTCCTGTTTCGACTGCATTAAATCGTTCTTTGCGTCTATCTCTCGCTATCTTCTGTTTGTATCTTGAGACTGGTGGGGAGTTACAGGAGTAGGTGTGGCCTGTTTCCGCAATTTTCTTCTGATTATTTGTTTCTCATATCCGATCTTGACAGTCAAGAATTGGTATTTGTGATAAAAGTTATCTCTTTACTCGACTTTCACTCTCATCCATGCAGGGTATTCTCCATCTCCAACCTAATATCTTTTATCTTTTAATTTGATGCGAGGAAATATTTGTTTCTTGCACATGGCCACACATGATGAGTTTTCTGTGCAGCATTGCAAACCTTTGGGAATTGTGGACCGCGAAAATACTTAGGTGTAGCATGTGACCTAGATATGTGATGATAGATATTTATGCATCATGACTTAGTACGTCATTGTAAGGCGTGAGCCACAACAATGTATGTGTTTGTGCAACTTTCTGTGAAGGCTAAACATCTTCTTACCCCTTTCTGTGTGGACGGGTCAGAATTCTGTTAGGTACATCTTAAGTAATTACGGGACATACTCCTTATGGAGACAGAATTCAATATGGATTCCATATCATAGCAGATTATAATCTATCAAATCACCCAATAAGGTTCAAAGGTCAAAGAAGCTAAAACGTTTTCATCGGGCCACTTAATGTCATGAATCACAAACGAAATATGAATAAAAGATAGAGATAAAGCTCAAAGCTAAGTTCCTTCACTCATGTACAGGGCTAATATTTTATCTTCTAGTACCCACAAGTACCCTCAAGAATTTTAGCTTTAGGTAGTCATCGATATATATACCATGATTGGTTGGAATAGCTGTATCATAGTTCAGCAAACTTTCTGACATTATGTTGGCCACGAGGCGGGCGGCGACGTACTAACATCATCAGAGCGGTTGTGATTCTCTCCGGGAGCAGATATGGCCCCGGGTGCTGTCAGTCAATTAGCCATTTGGTTCCAGGACGAGCTGGTTGTAGGTGTTGGTCTTTTAATGGCGCGCAGGAATTAGAAATTGTAACCGGAGATTGTGGACTCTTTGTTGATCAATCAAACTTATGTGATGTAAAGTTACGATGAAAAGCAACTGCCTAAGTTTGTATTACCGAATGAAGAAGAAGTTTTATCTAAGTACATCAGAAGAATAAGTGGAGAGCCCTGATCTCATTTCGGATTGCAGCTATTCCCCATCCGTATAAAGACTAATAGTTGGTTTTGTTGTTGTTTGTATACAGCTGCCATTGGAGCAGTATGTCATGTGCTGTCGACCTCACTGCTAGGCCTTGTGGCAATAAAGATGGCAAACACAATTGCTGGTGAAGAAACAGTACACAAACTGGCCTCTCTTCTGCTCATTGTTCTTGGTGGGACATATATAATTCTCTTTTTCAGTGGTAAAGGAGGGCATGGTCATGGCCATAATCACAACATGGAGAAGATGGCTGTTGCCGGACTAGTCCTAGTGCCGGCTCTATCCCCTTGTGCCACTACATTGCCTGTGTTCCTTGCAGTGGGAGACTCCTCCACAAGTGCTTTGTTGCTTGCCATTGGAGTACTACTAATAAGCACAATGACAGTTATGTGCTCTTTAGTTGCTCTGTCATTTTATGGTGCTAGCCAGCTCAAGTTTCACTGGATTGAGCGCTATGACAAGATGTTAGTTGGAGTAGTTCTGTGTCTCGTAGGACTTCTAACCCTCTTGTTTCACCATCATGATCACGACCATGAGCTTGAGCATGGCGGCTTACACACTATGCATGGCATAAGTGATATCAACACGACTGGAAGAAAGCTGTTCCTGTGATCATAGGAGATGAAAGTACTGGATACTCATGTCCTTACAAACATCCCTCATTCTTGGGCACAAATGTGGCCGATCTGTGTGTTCTTTAGACGAACTTGCTATCCTTACAATTCTCATTCAGCAATGATTGATCAGAAATATCTGCGAATCTGCTACGAAACTTCGTCACAAGTGAAGGAAGCAATCAAGTAGAGTTTCCGAGCCAACTTCAAACTTTCTACATTTTCATTCAAGTTCGTTCAATGATTTTATACTACAGAGAAAACCTTTTAGCACCAATATCCTCAATCGCCATCAAGAGTTTTATTATTGAGAACCAGGGCCAAACAAGCAATCGAGCTTTCTCTTCGCATGGCGAGAGGAATTGGAGTGGTTGAAGTTTTTACTGAGTCAGAGATGTTAACTGAAGACATCCTGGAGGTGGAGATACGATGCCGGTCATGATCTACTTCACCTCAGGTACAGACGTAGCTCATGCTCAGCAATTGCGCATTTATTATCAACGGAACGAGAAGAACAAAAGATTCATGTAATTGTTGTTAAATGAGAGATTGAAGTGAAGGAAACTGAGTCTTCTACTTCACAATCGATTCTGTTTTGCTTTTTGTGTTCATTCGCATTTTTTTAAGGGATATGTTGGTTGTTGATCATTTTATGAAGGAATCTTCTTTGCCTCCCCTGTCTCCGCAAGTGAGGCTGGTCACTGCAAAGGGTTTTCCACCTCCCAGACGTTTTTGCAAATGAACTATTGGTAACACGCGGCTACTGGTCACGAATCTGACGGGGAAGGACCCATGAAGGGATACGTGCTGACATCTGTACAGCTTAGAACGAGAATGAGCGCAAAGCATGGATCATTATTGTGACCATTCAAGGAACCAGATGCATGCACTGAAGGTCTCCGAAGGTGGCCTTAGGGCATTTTACATCTCGCCTGGTTGTGTTCTGTCTTGACTCACAAGCATTATGAACCCGTTGAGAGGAGTATATAAATCGAAGCTGGAGTTCCAATCAGATCTGATTATGGTAAGGAATGTTTCGAAAAATTAAGTCAATGACACATGCACTTTCCAATTATACCCGGTGTATGGAAGAACGCACATTCTAGGAGCCACGCTCATACAGAAGTGCTCATTTGACCATTGGTTTACTCGCAGGCGTTTTTCACCTTGTTCGGTCGTGGTGGGGTTTTTCACATCCCTATTGAGTTTCCACTTCTAAGCTCTTCATGCAATATCTGTGGGACTGGTCCTGACCTCAAGACACAGGTCCACTTGAGCATGTTGTTGAAAGAGTAGAAATTTCCTGTATGCAGTATGTCATGACACTAAAAGTAACGGGAAATGAGAACAAACTCTCACTCAACAGAAAATAGTGCTTCCATGCACGAAAGTATCGGAGTAAAACACATTTTTCTTCTCCCCTGCGTCGAACTACAACGTCCTGACGTCTTTCGTACAATAATCATTATTGCCGGTATGAATGGATCATGAAAAAAATAAAAACGAAATGAAGAATTAGTATTCAAAGAAGTGGTCCAAAATGAGCCTACATTACTTTCGACTGAGATAATTTGCGTGTTTCAGAATATCCTCGAGAGAGCCTCAGGTAATTAAACACGATATAAAATAATGATCTAAGAAACGCAAGAAGCATGCGACACGAGTGAAAATTAAACGAACACCAAAAATTCCACGAGGGAACCAGTCCACTTGTAGATGATACAAGGACACCAGGTTAAAGAACGCAACTTGTGTGATTTTGCGCTATCATCTCACCAACCTATATACTAATTTATCTTCAAGTCATGAGAATGAGTAACCACGGATAATTCAGTTATGTAACTGCAACTTTTGTTTCTTTGACATTTTGTGACATTCTGGAAAACCATCTTTTCTAAAAAGGGAGACAAAGAGACAACTGAAGAGTAAGAGAATACCCCATCAGAGCATACAAGGATGAAGCAAAATGTATAATCGTTGGTTCGGTCTTGATACTATCACAGTGAGAATTATAACATACAACACTGAAAAAAATAAAAAACTTTTTTAGACAAATTGTTCATAACACTCTTTCTGTATAGCAATAAATACACATTTCATAACAACCTACATAAAGCTCAAAACAAAGTAATAAACTTAAGGGTCTTGGAGAACCCACAGTAGCAATCTCTCATGAACATATCTTGCTTTGAGTCTATATATCTGCAATGCTAGAGGTATAAACAGCTGACCTCGGTGTAAATTACTATATTTGAAAACATTGGTTATTGTCAATCCATTCGCCCCAATTTAAGATGAATGGCGATCAGAATTGGACAATTATGTGTCATGTTTAATTTCAATAACTAGAAAAACGTCATTGATACCTAAGGCAAATATAGATATGTCACAATGTATTTAATTGCAACGTAGAGCGCCACTGCTTTGATATGACATTTATAGACTATAATGTCGTGATAAAGTTTACATACATAAGTCACATGAATACATGTTGCATATAAAATCATATGACAATCACATGTGGATGATACTTATAATAATTATTGCTTTAATGAAAATGAATATTTTTTTCACACCTCATGTCAGTATTCATAACTATGCACACTTGCATAAGCAAGAGATCCTAAAAGCTCTAGTTTGTCAAAAAATGGTCAAACTTATTGTGGATATTTTAATATTTGTATCATGATCTAAAATTAACAATTTATCAACGCAGAGCATTAAAAAAATATTGCTCCATCAAGGTATACTGTAAACCTGCAGTCCAAATGATTGACGATGAGAAAAAATTACAGTAGCTGATCTTGTACTCTCATGAATACTTAGGTAACACACTTTTTGTTTTTTTTGCAGAATTTAAACAATTTTAGAAAACAAGTACCGAAGCAGTGTCTGTAGTTAGAAAAGGGTACGTTAAATAGAGTGGATTGAGGAGATCGTCACGAGGTCACGAAGAATCGCGAAGTCGGATGTACCAGCGCCAAATGTCTTCGGCGCCTTCGGCAAAAGCTCCTTTTCTAAGGTGTCTCTACTCACGCGCTCCCAGCGTTTAAGGAAGCTACGCTGCCGGCGCAGACACCTCCGGAGGAGATTTTGCTAAAGACGACAGAAGAATGGCACGGAACTCTGAAGGCTTCCGACCATGAGTGCGCCTTCGGCGATGCGCCGCTAGCGCGGAAAAGGAAACCTTCATAACAATCGGAATACACAATAGTTCTAATTGATTGAAGTTGCATTGGAAAGAGCTCGGAACGCTCGTCCTAACGAGCCCAAGAGCGTTGAAGATGGATCAGGGACGAAGAAGTTATGAGCATCGGAAAACTCGTAGCCGGACATGCGCCGTTCGCGCTAGGGTTCACAGTCGGAAAGGACTCCCGTACGCCTTCGGCGATGCGCCTGAATCGCGCGCTCATGGGAGGAAATCAACTCAGAGTTGGAAGCGCCTTTGGCGGTTGCGCAACGGAAGAAAAGCGCCGGCCGGATGTACGCCTCCGACGTGGCGCTGATAGGCGGATGCGCTGGCATGATTTGCGCCGGCGGGATATGCGCCGTCAGCAACGGACGAGGCAGAACGGACAAAACAAGCGGTACGAATACACGCCGGCGTAATTCGCGCCGACTGGATGTGCGCCTCCAGCAAGGCGCCGACGGATAAGCGACACGCCTCCGGTGATGGTCGGGTTAGGAAAAGACAACATAGCCGACGTATACACTGCGGCGAACTCGAGTCCGGAAGACGGTGGCGGCGGGAGAATTCAACATTCACGCATGCGAATGCGCGCAGTGCGGAGACGTGAATTCGAGCATGCAAGGGCGAACCGTTAGGCCGTATAGCCGGCTGCGTAAATTGTAACCAGTAAGAACGTTGGACGATCTTGAATTCGGAGAAGAAAAGACTGCCCGCCAGTCTCATTCTCTCATTCTTGATTTTGCGATTTCCAGCTTCCAAGATTACGCGCAAGGGCGGAGAGACCTGCAGTGAGAGGGGAGAGTGCGGAGACGAGTTGCACAAGGATCTTGACAGACCTTGGAGAGAATTTGCGAGTAGCGAACTTGAGCACGAGCGAAGAGAGAGAGACAGCAGTCAGTACTTGAGCGGCCGACGCTCAGCGGCGATTGTGAGAGAGCGAGCGGAAGGGAGAACGTTTGTGTGTGCAGGAAACACAATGTCGAAGGTCCCCCAGCTGCAAGTGTCTCCACTCAGGGTACCGCAGATCGGTCTACGCGCATTCCAAGATGTGCTGATAGGGCTGAAGCTCGATTTCCTCCTGTGGGGATGGAACTGGACATGTCCGGAGATGGTGCGCGAGTATCTGCAGGAGAGACACAAGCCCTCACGCGGATTCCGTCCACATCCAGAGAGGTGGGACATTTGTGATTGGGCGCAGGTGTTGGGCAGGTGTGCCGGCGAGGAAGGGTATCTCCTCTTCGAGGCCGATAGCGTGAAGGTGTCCTAGGAGGAAGAAATCTCCTACAATGAGCTTTTCAAAGTTGCCAGGCATCCCAAGAACGGTTTCCGGACACGGGATTACAAAGATCGATTGCGGAGAAATGTCGCGACTGCATTGTTGCAGATATTGCAGCCGACCAAGACTGCTTACATGCATGGTTGGCAGGTAGGATTTGTGGAGCTAGTGTTGTCAGGAGCTCCAGTGCATTGGGCACGGCTCCTGTGGAAGGTGACGCGCCAACATGCGCAAGAAGAGAGAGGAGGAACCCTCAATCATCTTTCGCCTTACCTGATTGTGTTTTATCGGGCGATGGGATGTTTGACAAATTCAGAGCGGACACGGTTTCCGCTGCTGACCCGGAGCTATCCAGGTAGATACTCGCGGGAGGCCGAAGTAGACACGGATCCGGACGAGGCACCTGCCAGTCCGCCTCCGGCTCCGCCCCCAACAAGAGCAACAGAAGAACGTCGAAGTGAGCGCGTTCCGCGAAAGCGGAAGTGGGATGAGAGACCTGAGGACAGGCAGCCGGAAGCGCCAGCTGCGCCGACTCGTAGTCGGCCAACCAACGAGCCTCACAGCCGACCGAAACAGAGGGCACGCAAAATGCCAACTAGTATTGAGGAGACCGGGCGTACTCCGGTCCGGCGGGGTATCCTGCCCACGCAGGAGGAGATAATCGCGCAGATTCTGGGGAAGTCGGCAAATACCTCTGCGCAGAAGGCACCAATGCCTTCGGAAGAAGACAGACGGACTTACAGTCGGGCGACTGAAGGTCGACAAACGGAAGGAAGGCCGACTGAGCGGCGCGTTGAACCGAACAGCAGGCCGGAAGCAGAAGGGAGTTTGGCTGACGAGCCAACAACCCTCAGAGGGTCGCCTTTGGCGGAAGGCACTTCTTGGAAAACGCCGCCAGCAAGCAGGCCAAGTGGAGTGAAGACGCGCAGGGTGTATCCGACTGCTAGTCGGACACTTGCTAGTCGGCCGACTGCGAGTCGGTCAACAGAGAGTCGGCCAGATTCGCCGACTGCGAGACGGACAGGGCTGGCGACCAGTGTGCGGACGCCTTCGGCGGACGCACCTTCAGCGAAGACACCTTCCGCGCAGATCGCGCCGGAAGGGCAGGCAGCAGATCGGGCGGTGCAAAGGTGACAAAAGTCACTGCGGCGTCGACCCCTTCGGAAACCGAAGATCGAGCCGGAACAGGGGCTCAAGCAGTGGGATCCCCCACTGCCTTGGATATTTTAGCAGGGAGTGGAGCGGCAGTCGCGGCGGAAGCTGCTGCGCGCCACAGTTCCAGGGAGTCGCCAAGGGATTCGGTGGCGACTGAAATCCTCGAAACGGAGGATGAGACGAGCTCGGAAGAGCAGGAAGCGGACTCTGTGCAGAAAACGCCAACCGGGGTGTTGTGCGAGCAGATAGTTCCACTCCTGCGATATCTGGATCGCAAGACATCCAAGTACTCGGGTACCGGAAAACCGCAGTCTTACGTGGAGACTGTCAAGCGCAGGACGAGGAGCAAGGTGGCCACTTGGGCCTCTAGGTGCCAAACATTGCAGGATAGGAACGCTACCCTCCGAGAGCACGTGGCGGTCACGCAGAAGCTATACCAAACCTTGCAACAGCAGAGGGAGGATGCGGCGACGAAAAACCAGGCGGATGCCGAGCTAATACGGGCAAAGATCGAGTCGGAATTGCAGGAAGAGCTGAGACAAAACCGCATCTTAGCAGAAGAGCTTGCGCGCCAGAAGCGCGCCTTAGAAGAAAGTCAAAGTACACGCAAGGAGGATGAGGAGTTGTTGCGCAACTTGCAATCCGAGTGCGCGGATTTGAGGGCGCAGCGCGCAGATGCGGAAATGCAGCTAGCAGAGGTGGAAGGCAGCTGCCGGACGCGAGAAGAGTTGGCGACGCGGGTGACTCATTGTCTAAGAGGATACGCCCATTGGGAGGTGGCAGCTCAAGAGAAGATCACACTCAGGGAGTTCGAGCTTCGGGCGGCGGCGTTGACGGAGGGTGACAGTCGGAGTCGGCGGCGAGTAGCGAGGAAATTAGAATCCTTCTTGTCGGGTGCGCGCGACACTATGGCGCACTTGGAGTCGGAAGTGACTGTAGCCCTTCGGCGTCTGGGGTTGCGCAGCCGGTCGGAAGATTGGCAAGGTAGAGATAGAGAGCGAGGTAGTCCGGCGCGCAGGAGGCGCAGCACCGGATCTGCAGAGTGCAGTAGTGTAGTTTGGTTTCGTGCAAGTGTTGCGAGTAGTAGATAGGATAGCGTAGTGTTAGTTAGGACCTTTGAGAGTATAAAGTAGATCAAGGCGTTTTGCCTTGGGACTCTTCTAGTTTCGGAAGTGCAGATCAGGAACTCACTTTCTTGGCGTGTTTGTGCATTTTGGTCTTGGCACCACGTAGAGAAGCTGCAGCATAGCGAAGTTACCGTATGTTGTAGTTGAAGGCCTTCGGCTGAATGTTCAGAGCTAGCACCCGGTTAGAGACTTGAGTAGTGCGGATCTGCACCTGTGGGTGATTTCTGATGCTCAGAGCCGGCTGCGAGTTAGAGACTTGAACAGTTCCCCCTTACTCCTTCGAGTGACATATCCCGATTGTACTCCTACGGGAAGTTTCCCCTGAATGCCAAAGTGAAGTTTTATTACTTCGTGTAAGCCTTGGTTTGCAATTCAGGTTGTGTATGTGTGTTACTGGATTGTGTCTCAGTTAAGTTCTCAGTCGGGCCTGTACCCCCTGCGTTTGGTGTGAGTCGAGGGTGACGTCCACGGCGTATGAAGGGGCTTCGTTCCGAAGTGGGAAGTCCAGTCCGGGTTCCCTACGCTAGTTCCTGGCGGAAGGGCAGTAAAAGCCGGAGTGGGAGTCACTACCTGCAGAACCTCTGAGTGAACTTTTGAGACACTTTCCCCCTGAAATCCGAAGCGGAGGTTCTGACCGACCTCCGAGTTGTGCTTTTGCCAGTTTCAGGTGTGTGTGTGTGTGTTGAGTGACTACGCTGTACTGTGCATCCTCCGAGCATCCTCCGAGTCGAGCCTCCGAGTCGAGCACTGCAGTATTTCTGGGAGTGACAGTCGCCTGAGAATTCAAACTCTACAAAAGTCTGTTAAACGTGACACTTTTTACTCTGTGTGTTGCCTCTGTCCCTGTGGGTTTGATCTTTTTACCACCATACTGCAGTTTTAGCCTTTGGTGGGTTATTACAAATACATTATGTTTTACATTTCATGAATTAAATAACTTTCATATTGTATGGAATGATACTATAATATTTGAAATTATTTAATATTGTATTCACTTATTAAAATATTTTTCATGAAAATATTCATATACATAATAAGAAAAGAGATAAAATGGATTTCAATAATGTACAACAAGGCAAATCAGACAAGACGATCAGTTATGCAATGTCTCTAGTCCTTAACACATCATTGAGAATTTGAAAAGTAAGACCCACCCCTTACTGTCTCATCGCAGCCTGCACAGCGCTCAAGACTTTGAGATATTTCCGTGGTTGACGATCCCACCTACCCTCGGTCCTTGCCCGTTCCAGTGCATGTAGGGTACCGTATCTTTGTCGTGGAGAAAAATACCACACATACACTTAAGAGAGGAAACCAACGGCACTACAGCGGTTGGTGGCTGCATGCATTCGTAGACAATGACATCCGACGCAGTCAGAAAGAAAGTTTGAGGAGTCTTTTTATGTGCGTGTCGTCCTGAACACTGTTTTGAGCCATACTTTTATCATGATTGTCTCTTAATTCATGGAGTTTTATGTGTCATGTAACATGACACTTAAAACTCCAACATGACTCATGTTGGTGGTGTGGTGGTTTTGTCACTTGTGCACCTTCCACGAACTTTTTGATTAGTGAGTCTCGGTTTGACGATGTTTCACTTCTTCGAGAAAGTACACGGGATTTATGGTCAGTTTGGCCTGACGAGGTTAGGAGAGAACATGTACATGTACAGCAGTTGAGTGGCACATATGTTAGGTGAAGTTATCGAGAAATTGCTCGTAGCTTTAATGATCTCTTTAATTTTCTCAGAGTTTCCGCAGATGGTGAGCTTCTGCCACTTTCTTCGTCAAACTTTCACCACTCCAGGGGGCACACACAATTAATGAAAACGTCAACCATGTCCTACGGACGAGACTCCCGTACGATACTGTACACTTTACCTGTGCTTGAGTCCACCGCTTTCCCTGAAATGAGCGTTAGAGAGTCTAGACTGTAGACATCGGCCATCATGTATGTCGCACACTGATTTGCAAGCTGGGAAATTATGAAGGCTCCATCGGGTCATTTCAGTAACTACTGTGAAAAAGCGATATGAATTTTCTTGGCAGTCAGTTTAGGCATCTGGCCAGAGATTGGGTTTGTCTATCGTCAGACAGAGTAATTCTATTTGTTTACAACCCCTGTTAACACCTTAAAAGCGTTTCCAGTGTCAACGCTGTGGGCAGAGAGGGGGAAAGACTAGCCTCAGTATTCACAAGTCGTTTCCGATGTACCAAGCAATCAATCATCGCCGGGTTTGAGACACGCTTTTGGAATTTTAGAACATTCAGTGTAGGCTTAGTGTGTTCTATGGATTTCAAAAATACCGCATTATACACAACGGAGGGTGAATTAGTGGCACTCCGACTACCATTTCGTCTTCAATAAAAGTGGGACCACATGTCAGCGACTCCGGGACACAGGCTTCACTTAGAATCTTCGATCGTGTACAGTATATTTGGTCACTCGTTTGCAATCTGAACGGAAGGGAACACAGGTGAAGGCTTCGCTTCATGGTCCACACAGTGGAACACGAAAGCACCGACCAGCACCTTGTCAAGAGGGTAGCACCTTGAGTTAGGGGGGGGAGAATATACCAGATCCATTGCGATAATTAAGGACGGGAAGATGGAATGTATATACGAGACGGGATCTACCTATATGCAGGAAAATCTTGCATGACACCCTTACATTAGGGGATCTTCACAAGAAACCAAGTGAACATCTACAGCAACGGAGGCTCAGCAATAACAAAAGCGCTCACTATCAGAGGTGTGCAATCAGTTGTCATTTGATCGAGGAATCCCATGCGAAGGACGTGAACAGCTCGAAGGTACACATCCACAGGACCACGATCGTACAACTACTGAATTTTCTGCTTTTTTCTAAATGAGGTGAGAAACAAATCCGTTCGGTGCAAAGGTCAGAAATAAACCTGTCATCTATCGAAGACAATGTCCAGATCAGAGATACCACACTGCAGATAAAAAAAAAACAATCTTTCAGTTACCTTATCTCCAGGAAATTTATTCATTTCACCCAGATGTGAACAATTCTCGTTTAGACATGAAATCATCACGACCCGCTGGCAAGTTTTCATGGTTTATTATTACGCAATTCCAAGACACGCACGGACCCCTGCGTCAAATTGTTCAAGAGCAAGGCTCGTCTCCTTCAAAGCTCCGGTAAGGCTATCCCGGTCGACGGATTCGCCGGTACTATCTGTAGCCAGAAGCCCGTCGAGAATGACGAATGATCGGATCAATGCCTGCAGATCCTCCTCGGCTTTCACTTTGACCGGGTCGGTATCCGCAAGAAGTGAAGATGCATTCTTCAATACCAGCCTGAAGGTGCAGACCTCAACACCCGTCCGGCTTTGAAATCCTATAATTGATCCATCCTCTGCTGGCATACAATCTCGAGAAGCCACCTTTACAAGCCTGCCAGCCTCTTCAATTCCCTCCTTTGAAAGATCACCTTCCGACAAAAGCAGCAGTGCTGTCTTGAGCCGGTCCCGCGAGGCGTCGATGGGTGTCAACAAAAATTGGGACGTCTTCTGCTTTTGTCCCTTCAGCCAATCCTTCATTCCAGAGAATCCAGGGGAGAAAGCTGACGCATCATCACATTTCACGACGGACAGACTCACGGCTCCGAGCAAACAAAGCGCCGCTCGTCTCGATTGCTCATGGGCACGACAGCATTTAGATTCGCGTCCTACGTCTACGGAGCTAATTCTCTCCCGAGATTTCGCTACCCACGCCTCACTTGAAGATTTTTGATCCTGTGCTGGCGCGACTGGACTTGGACAGACAATATTGGCAGCTACGTTCAGATGTTTCATCTTCGTCCACGAGTCCGTTTGAATAAACGGTCGAATTTTCAAAACTTTCAAGCCTGCAAGAGTGATTCCCTTTTCGGTCCATTCATTTGCACCGACGCTGCTGCCTCCTCTTCCTTATCCGCCTTATCTCCCAGCGGCTGTGCGCACTTCGAGCTAACGTCAAGTTTATCTTATCTCCTGGAGTAGGACGTCCATTCTCCCGGCGCTGTATTTCTATGACTGTCATGCCACGGAGAGGGGAGATGCTGATTTCTACGGAGATTGTTTCCCAGCCCATTATCCACAGGAGTAGTAACTGTCATGGGCACATTGTCTTTTTGATGCAGCAGCATTACATGGCGTGTCGTCGTTGGCCATTGCAGGCGTCATTCGCGGGCGTGATATGTTTTTCGTGGGCTTACTGTTCCCCTCCGACGCTTTATCATATTGCAGACAATCTACAAGGATTCCCCTTAGCCTGAAGTTTTAACCTCATCTAGCTGGAGATCGCCTAGCATCGTCATTTCTGTGTGGTAGAAATTTTGGCCATAGTGATTTTTGTTCCGACAGATTTAGATTCTATTTGGCTCTAGATCGTAAGGCCCTTGTTGTAAGGTTCACGAGGACCATACCTCCCCTTGGGATGTGCTGACCCAGAGTCTTAACGGTATCATTGATCTGATGCTACGGCAACAGAGGGCCAAGTGAACAGGAAAAAAGATGAAAAGAAACTATGTGTATAATGTATTAAGTTTAATACGTTTTATATCATGTATAATTAGTTCCAAACGGTCTATTGTGAGTCCATTCTATATTTCATCGATTTCAAACTTTTCCAACTCCACATTCAAACTTTTTATTATAAAAAGAGGAATTTTAATGCACAACTTGAAGATTTTTATTACAGATTAAAAAAATGACATATGAATGACATTAAATTTTATAACACACGTTATACAAAGCTATCTAATTTTTCCGTCAAATTTTGAAATGAACTTTTTAAGACATTTTTACTATTTATTATATAAATTTTTAATTTATTATACATACTTCATGGAAATAAAAAATATTATATACTTCTTAATATTTTTATTTCACAATAATGAAATTGTTGTACTCATCCTTTATTTATTATGACCTTATTATCAAAAATTTATATTCATGTAAAAATAATCTTAAATAATAATAAGGAGTGAGTTTTTATGTATTTCAGCAATTATCTAAATTACATTTAGATTCACTTGACAGCTTATAATCATGTTATAGTAGATGTTGTGTATGTATCTTATCAAAATAATACAAACATATAATAATTGCATAATGAAAATAAAGTTTAGTTCATAGTCACTTGTTGATCAATTATTAATGAATTTTGTCATATCAATTTTTTGAATTCACTTTCTAGCGTTATTTATATGGTTAATGCATTCAAATGAATTAATTCCAATTTTCTTTCATTTCCAACTAATAATATGTAATTTGTTTACTCTTTGAACTCTTTTCAATTTTCCTATGTTTCGCAATACATACATCACATTTTTTGAAAATAAATTGCAAAGAATTCAAAATTGTTAAACATTCATCTATATGATACTTGAAATGCCAATTGTTTTAATTTTTATGTTCAACAAATTACTGTGATCTCATCATAAAAGCTTTAATAAAGATCATTTTAATCTACCAAGCGATTTAAATTTTTGTCTTATTGATGCATAAACCCTGCATTCAATTATTTGTATATATTACTTTCTTCTAACCATACTAAGTTAATATATTTGGTATTGTTGTTTTGACCATTCAATAAATAAATAAATTTATAGATATATCTTGTCATTGATGTTTCTTATATACATTGATAATCATGATATTCAGCAAATTATCATTTTTATTTGTCATTTTTTTATATATTACGAATTTTTTGAATAATGAAAAAACCCGAAATAAATGCAGGATTAGTATTTTTTCAAAATCTTCAATTGTTACATATTTGAGACAGAATTATTCTTTGTGATTTGAAATTTTTTGCAAACATTTTGTTATAAGTTAATAATCACCATCCAAATTTACTATAATATTTAATAGCAATGTATCCTAAACGAATTAAAAAAAATTATGTTAAATGTACTTTGATTTACTTTATACATTAAAAATCTGAAAATTACACATTTCTGTGTAAATTTTTATTTAAGAATTTCCTTGTATGCAAAATAATTGTCTCATATTTGAAACTTTAAACTTTTATCATACATCAAAATATATCAATTTAAGAAAAAAATATTTTTTTACCTGATTATTTAATTCATAAATGTCTCAAGCATGCGCATACAAGCATATTGGATACCGGATATATGCAATCTACATACATGAAACATCTTAGATTTTATTTGAACATTTAGAACAATGTTTACTATATAATGATTGTGTTTTAGGCTTTGGAGATTTTAGATTTACATAAATTAATTACAACCTATCTTATATTAGTTGCAAGTTAATCTAAATTAACTCCGAACAAACTCTACTTTAACTCATGTCACAAGTATCATAAATTCCATAACTCCATTTTTTTCAATAAGCTTTTGAATGATAACATAGGATTTTCTTTAAACTAGAGCTAACAAGAATCAAATCATGATGAACATATTATAGAATATATTTATATATATAAGATAAATTTTCATGTAGGTTTTACTTATATTCATGCAAAATTGGCAAAGTAGCATAGTACTTACTAAAATATGATCAAAAGTATAATGTTGATTAATGCATTAGCTAGATTGAAATTAACATCAATTTTCAAACCGCATGCATAAAAACATTGAACCTAAATTTGATATATTACTTTGCTACTCAACGTTAGATTTGCTTCAAGATTTAACATAATCTTACTATCACAATGAAGATTGATAATATATCGTCTCAATCTCATCCTAATGACAAATTGATTCAACAAACTAGTGTTTTTTGCTTCTTTTCAAATCGCTACATATTTCACTTCCATTGTTGACTAAAGAGATTTGAAGATTTGATTTTTTCTAAAATTTGAAAGTTTTATTTTAAAAAAAATCCTTTTAAGATCAACATCATGTCATCATCATCTCACGATCTTCAAGTATGAATTAATTAGTTCATGATCATATTTCATATGAATTCTACTAACCAGATTTGATGACTTCTAGTAGATAATTGTGAGTGATTTTTATTGTCTTGTATAGTTATTTTGAGACCCATCATTAATAAATTGATACTTCAATTGATAATTTTCAATAATTTGGTTCATCTATTGAAACTTCTCCTCGTTAAAAATCACTAAATTCATAATGATCAATCTTTTCACTAATAATATTTGTGAATGAAAACAATAAGTATGTTATATCTTTTTCTCTTTTAATAATGTAGATTCATAAAAAAAAAAGCTTCACAAGTGACAATATATTTATAATTCATTAGATATTATAATCAATAATCTTTCACATCACTAGCATATCAAAAAAAACAAAATTTTGTGAATGGAATATCAACTCTGGGCTTGTTATTTGATTTATACAAGATCATAAGTCATAGGACAAAAAATTCATGAACAATAATTGCCATTCATCTGTTCGTGTATCGCAATGTAAAATCTATAGTTATTGTTTCTAATTATTACTTTGCTTAATCCGTGATATTTAAAAAACTTCATTTAGATACTATTGATAAAATCATAGAGTTATAATTTTTTTTATGATTTGTTTAATGTGAATCATCTTGCTCAATTTGTCTGCTAAATCCAAGTCTCTACTGCTCATGTGGTTGCAATCCCGATATATCCAGCAGTGAGCAATGAGGAGGCGGTCGCGGATATATTAAGACTAGGAAGAAAGAAACTCAGTAAACTCATACTGATGTTGTTTCGTTGTCCATGCATGTTGGAACTCTATAAGTATCGCTCTCATTAACACTAATCCGACATAAGTATGTGGAACCGTTGAAATCAGTCTCATGCGCGGGTGTAACCGTCTTGTTTGACCTTGTTCTTGATCGTTAGATACGTGCAGACATTCTTATCGATCGTTAGATACGTGCAGAATGACCAAAAGGTTATGAAAAGGTGAGACCATTCTTCCTAAAAGGAGGAGCAAAGCTTCTTTCAGGAGCAATAAAGGCCCCGAAAACTCTTCTTGCGAGTACAAGGTAGTGCGCAAGCGGACTTGGGGCAAGTGGGTAGCTGAGATTCGGGATCCAAGGAAAGGAGTCAGAGTGTGATTGGTGACGTTCAAAACCAAGGAGGAAGCTGCAACAGCTTACGACCAGAAAGCTTTACAATTTTTTGATCTTAATGCTTACTTGAATTTGCCAAATTCTTGCGTCGCCACTAAGTTCAATCAGAACACCGTTTGTACGCCATTGTTCTCAAAAATCACTACTGAATCATTGGAAATACTTTTTAGATCATTTACACACAATATCCACAATAACATGTTTCCATTATGATTATGAAATAGATCGTGTTTGTTATAAACTAGCTACTTTTCTTATTACTTGCTTTGTTTTGTTAATAAAGCATGAATATAAGTCTTCACATTCTTACATACCATGACCAATAATACACTTTTTGTATGCTGTTTGTGATTTTTTCACTTTCATATAAACTGCAATGATTATATCATGAAGCATCAATTGAATGATAAAGAGATTGTAATCAATATCTCACATAAATCATTGTTTTATTTTATAACTCAGATTTATCTAACTAAACAACATATTTGATGATTGTAGTGATGTTAACGTTTCAATATGAAAATTATGTACTTAGAGTTCCAGAAATAACTTTTGTATGCTCTCATATCATGTTGTCATATATCAATCATGTTTTTGAAGTGAACATGTAAGTCGATTGTTGGAGCAAAATGACGTATGACACAAAGTAGTGTGAATAGATAATATAAACATTACACTGTGAAGAAATTCAATCCTTGTACAGTGCTCATCTCATAACTTCATCAAGTTTGATGAGGTTCTATAAAAAAGAAGTTTTGTATTCATTTAGCCGCAATCAATAATGTTGTGGAGCATATTCATAAGATACCTTATCAAGCAAAAGAAAAAATTGCCAAAAATCGTCTAAAACATACAAATGCTCATTGTAGATAGATGATTTGTTTAATTTATTTTTTTTATTTTGTAAAATTATTATTTTTAAACCGTCAAATTTTGATAATAGATTCATTTTTCCTATTCTTATATTGAAACTTTTTGAAAAATGTATTTTTTTTCACATATGAGAATACATATGTTTTTCATATATCACTACCAAACAAATTAACAATCTACTGACATCACCTTCGTCCGTCCAATCATCACAATTCATCTCACATGGTATATCTATGTTGACAATGATCTTGAAACATCACATGTTTTACTCAGTAATCTTAATAAATAAAGTTAATCACAATTTTTTTGAAGCTCAAAATACGAAGTGATTTAATTATTCATAAAATATCATAATATGATAATTATTTTGTATCAATTTTAATTTTAGTTTTGAATTTAAATCTATGGTACTTACTATGAAATATCTTTAAATAGTTTCATTTTTATATATCAAATTATTTGAGATCTCAAACACCATAAACTTGTTTCAATCGAATTTAATTCTATATATATTCTTAAAAAAATATATAAAATGAAATATTTAAAAATAAATATTTAATTTTTTGGGGATACTATTTTAAGTTTCCAGTAATTATAATTTATTGAGTTATTGTATTCTAAATTGTTAACAACAGTAATTTTATCACTTATTTCTTGCTATATAATAATTTTTTTCATATGAAATTAAATTAAAATTTTTTATACTGTACTTAAAATATGGAAAATATTCATTTCATATTTTTAATATTAATTTTGTATTTATATATATGCTAAATATAAAAATAATTTTTTCATAAAAAAACAGATTTATAATACAATTTTGATGGATGAAACGTCAAAATAATTAAAAATGACATTAAAAATAAAAGTTGTAAATAAAAAAACAAATTTATTTTAGACTTTATCAAAATATATTTACATGACACAAGTAACATTTACATGCAGTATTTACATGAAAGGCATTATTTTTAAAATTTAATTTAAGAGCTGAAATATGGACTTAATAGCCAGGTCTGTCAATCGGTTGATCCAAAATTTCATACAATATATTTTTTGAATAAGTTTTCACTTGATTAGCATACAAATAAAACCTATTATTATTATGATCAAGGTTTATTCGACAAAAGATCTATGTTAAGTAACAATGGTGTAAATTTATCTTTGATGATTTTAATTAAACATGAATATATTAACAATTTGATTACAAAAATAAGACTTTGCTAGATTCAAAGAAGGTGTAACATGTAAATCAATTTAACATGTATGAAATTTGTTTGTAGGTTTTGTTTAAAGAGATTTGTTGTTTGTTATATTTAATTATTACAAATTATTCAATATATTACATATTTATTCTACATAATCTACTTAGATGAAACTTTTATAAAAAAACTATGAATGTTGCAAATTTATTATTCACAAATGTACTTTTGCATTGGTTCTTTCTCACCATATACACACCTATTAAGAGATGCAATAATATCTACTCAAATATTATCATTTGATATTTCACTATAATAACTGTATATATTTTTATTTATTTATCTTATCTGAATACAGATTTTTGATATCTGTATCATGATACAGTCTACAGAAGACACATGCTAAAAAACTTCATATTCATCCAATAAATGTATCATAAATTCATATTTTGTAATACTAATGTTCAGAACATAGACATCACAAACTAAGTCTTTTTAAAGGAACATTGTACGGATAGAACATTAATATTGTACATTTGTTACAAATTTGACTAATTTATTTGTTTTTTAATTGAATTTATAACTTTTTTATGAGATATTATTTTATGTTACTATTTTTTTTGAATTCAATTATATAATATATATTTTGAATCATATTGTCACATTTAATTTAATTAAATATTGAATAAATATATCGGTTTATGTAATATTTATATAGACCATAGTATGTTGATTAAAAGATCTAAATAATACGCATATAATTCTAAAATCATAAAATGTTAATGATTTAATCATATAATTAATTGATATAAGACTATTAGATCTATATTATGCACAAATGAAAATCATAAGATTTTACTAACTATGAGTTTTTATGCAAATGAGTCACACACATTGTTGAGAGACATATCAAAATAACTCAATTGTAAGGTAAGTTGATAGATTTCCCAGTTAAATGCATTATTTTAACAATATTTGTATCTCAAATTTTCAAAATCATATCAAATTTGCAGATCTTGATGATGATTCACAACTCTGTCTTCGATTTTTGATTGTTAACGGGTATCGATATTTGGGTAACTTAAAAAGAATTTGCTAAAGATCTTAAAAAACAGATTAAAAAAACCTTTCAAAATAGCTAATCCTTTAAATCCGTTTCACAATATAATGCTCATTGATGATAATCGAAAAGATTCCATTTTAAAGTGCATATAAATTGCTTAATTATCTCTTTCTGTCTCGTAATATTTTGTTCTCTCCTATTGGATCGGACCCGCATCTTCTCGATCAGTTCACTATACTAATATTTGGTCAACTTCAAGAGAGATTAGAACTTCGTTCTCCAAAGTGTAAAGGCCGACAAGCAGAAAAGGAAACTTCAATCAGAAGCCTTCTAGGTTTTCCCGCGTCCCAAAAAGCGAAGGGAGGACGGGGAGGACGGTGAGGCCAGAAGAAGAAAGCAACAGTAAAATCTCATGTGATTGCGTGCATGTCATGGATCTATGGGATGCTAGTCCACCGTTTGGAAGTATGTGCAGAAGGAGAAAGGCGCGGGAGGCCAAAAGCGACTTCGGCCACCTCTCTACTTTCTAGAAAGTTTGCTCGCAGCTTGTAATAAGCGCGGAAAAGGTACTCGAAAAACCGGAGCAATCGGTGTGGTATCAGCAGTCGGGTTCGCTAAACCTACGTCTTCTTATTTTGGAATGTTAAATTGAAAGGGCGTGCCGGCCCTAAGCACGGACGATGTGACAGACGGAGGAGTGTGAGCAATTCGGATGACGATGCTGGCCGGCAGTCACGACAAAGAGTCCGAAGGGGCATGGACAGGGCAATATATAAATGGAAAAGAGGCTTTGAATATTCCTAACCCTTCGTCGTCGGCCTCCCAACTTGCCCTCGCATGCTGAATTGGCCGCCTATCTGCGAATGGCCGGCCGCCGACCCTAAGTCGCAATAACTTGAACGGAGCCGATGCAAAGTCCTTATCGAACGCTCGTTATTATAAACGGGGCAGACCTAGGTATTTAATTATATCAAAACCCTCCGCAATTTCGCTAATCATTCCCTAATTTCTTCTACTTTGGCGTCTAGTGCTGTGGTCGCGCTTGCTCTCAAAGCTCGCTGGGAGGCAGTGGAGCGTCTGGCTTAAAATCGATCGCCGCAACCCTAGAGTTCCTTTCACTTCTTTCTCTCTTGCGTGGAGAGCATCGACATCGAAGAGCTGCATCTTGTCTTCTGGTATGCGCCTTGTGCCCTCGTCTCTGTACGTCGTTACGATTGCTCGATATTGTGATTGTCTAGACCTGAAACCCGACTGGAGCTTTTACGTGGTGTCGATTGGGGCCTCGAGCGAGTGATTTTTTAGGTTCGTTTTAGCCAAGTACATCCCACTTTGGTCAGTCCTGTTATCTCGGTAAGGTGTTCAGTTCGGTCTCTGGTGCGGAGGTGCCTCGTAAGTTTCCTGCATGATAGATTTGTCTATCCTTGACTTGAAGAGGAGTCGAAGGTCAGCGAGGTTGGCTGTGTGCTATGGACGTCGGTGCTCCTTGGTTCCGTGCTTCTATGGGTGTTGCCTCAACAGTATTGATGTGCCTGCAGAAAGGTTGTCACCATGGGAAAGGAGAAATTCCACATCAACATCGTCGTCATTGGTCATGTCGACTCCGGAAAGTCGACGACCACTGGTCACCTTATCTACAAGCTGGGAGGTATTGACAAGCGTGTGATCGAGCGTTTCGAGAAGGAAGCTGCTGAGATGAACAAGCGTTCGTTCAAGTACGCCTGGGTGCTCGACAAGCTGAAGGCAGAGCGCGAGCGTGGTATCACGATCGATATTGCTCTGTGGAAGTTTGAGACCAACAAGTACTACTGCACTGTCATCGATGCCCCCGGTCACAGGGATTTCATCAAGAATATGATTACTGGAACTTCCCAGGTACAAGTCATGAGTGTTGTCCGTTCCTTCCTGATTTCTTTGATTACACCTGCCTTTAAGTTTACACTAGAGGGATTCTGATGAACTGTATCTTCCACAGGCTGATTGCGCCGTTCTCATCATCGACTCAACCACCGGAGGATTCGAGGCAGGTATCTCTAAGGATGGCCAGACCCGAGAGCACGCTCTCCTGGCTTTCACTCTGGGTGTGAAGCAGATGATCTGCTGCTGCAACAAGATGGATGCAACCACCCCGAAGTACTCGAAGGGCCGTTACGACGAGATCATCAAGGAGGTGGCTAACTATTTGAAGAAGGTCGGGTACAACCCCGACAAGATTCCCTTCGTGCCAATTTCTGGATTCGAAGGAGACAATATGATTGAGCGATCTACTAACCTTGACTGGTACAAGGGACCTACCCTCCTCGAAGCTTTGGACAGCATCAGTGAGCCTAAGAGGCCTTCCGACAAGCCCCTCAGGTTGCCCCTTCAGGATGTGTACAAGATTGGAGGAATTGGAACTGTCCCAGTGGGACGAGTGGAGACTGGAGTCATCAAGCCCGGTATGCTTGTGACCTTCGCTCCCACCGGTCTGACCACTGAGGTTAAGTCCGTCGAGATGCACCACGAAGCTTTACTCGAGGCTCTGCCCGGTGACAACGTCGGATTCAATGTGAAGAATGTCGCTGTCAAGGACTTGAAGAGAGGATTTGTTGCATCCGACTCCAAGAACGACCCTGCCAAGGAGGCTGCGAACTTCACCTCCCAGGTTATCATCATGAACCACCCGGGACAGATCGGAAACGGATACGCCCCAGTTCTCGACTGCCACACTTCCCACATTGCAGTGAAGTTTTCCGAGATCCTGACCAAGGTCGATCGTCGATCAGGAAAGGAAATTGAGAAGGAACCAAAGTTTTTGAAGAATGGAGACGCCGGATTCGTTAAGATGATTCCCACCAAGCCCATGACTGTGGAGACCTTCGCTGAGTACCCACCTCTTGGACGATTCGCCGTGCGCGACATGAGGCAGACCGTCGCCGTCGGAGTTATCAAAGCCGTCGAAAAGAAGGAGCCCTCTGGCGCCAAGGTCACCAAGGCCGCCGCCAAGAAAAAGTGAATCGGGGCGACTGACATCACATTCCGGATAACGGACGATCCTGAATCTGTTGACCGTTACGACAGATGCGCTAAGCCTTGCCGATTGCTCGATAGGAGGAGGTTTCTTGCCCGCCTTCAGCAGACTTGGGTCCTAGACAGGCGGTGGCAAGGCTTGGAGGACACCGTAGGATATGTTTCGTGATTATGGTGTTAAAGTCGATTTTGACACATTGAGTTCTGTATCATTTTCATATCAACCTTTACCACTCTGTTTCGTATTCGTCCAAACACATCATATGTGTCCTGGTGAATGAGGACTATGGTTGAGCTGAGTGTATAATGAATAGCGAGTGTTCATGGTGTGGAATGTGATGTTGATATAGTGTACGCGTAGCTTTTAGAAACTTGTGTAGGAAGTAAATACCAGCATCTGTGCAATTTTATCATTCTACGCTCACTGCTGATGGAAATGTAATGAAAAAATTTGCACAACACTTGATACTCATTATTAGCGGTAAATTTGTCTTACAACTACAAAAACGAAGCGACACAAATAAGATAAGTACAGCAGTGAAGGAAAAATATTAATCATGAGTAAACAAGAAAAAGTAAAAAAGAAAAAAAAATCAATTTGTAAAATGAAATAAACTACCTATTATCATCACCATGTTTTCTACCCCAAAAATCAGAATGGGAAATTGCCTTAATCATATTCCCAACTGTGAAGTTAATGTAGTACGTGTAACAAACGAATTTGTGAACGTTTGATTCTTAAGTATGAAAAGGAGAAAGCTGGTATGGATCTTAAGACCCCATGTTGATGATACACTCACATCTTCAATATTTCTTTCCCTCAAATTACTGTCTGTACAAATAACTCACATAATGTCGTACAATTCTCCTAGAGCTGTCACCAAATAACTGCTACTGCTGAAAAGTCATTCAAACTGTTGCATCATCGAACATGAGAAACAAATTGTCGTTCAGTGCAAGCTATATAGCACTTAAATTAACTAAAAATATATTCTCCTCCGATGCATACATCATTTGTTTTCACATAAGTTCATATGCTGTGATATATAGCTCAAAAGAAAGGCGCAAAATATGGCTTTATGTAAAAAATAGCATCGGTAGAAAGATCTTGATGGGCATAAACACCAAATCGATTCTTTGACCAATTTTTTGTTTCACTAGAAATTTACATCAAAATACTAGACAATTATTTCATAATTCTTATGAAATTTAAGATTAATTGTGATATCAAGATAAGATAATCGGAACATGGCCAAACACATTAGGCTCAATAATTTAGCAACCACTCAAACAAGACTTTAACCTCATTACCCATGTCTGCTATGTATAGACCGTACGAAGGCTTTGTATTTCTCTGTAGATGATTTGTAAGCTACTTGGGCATTTGGTGATTTCACAGGGGAAATCACCGAATTCCCACCGAGTGTACATCTAACAACACCAATTTGTTGTGAGACAGAGTACAACTCAACATTAGTGATGAGAAAGGAATGTAACTCAACAAACAATCATCTCCTTATATATTCCATTCTCTTGACATACATTAGAAGTCCGTTTGATGTTCACGGTTAGAATAATGGAATAAAATGTTAAACTATCTCACCTCAACTGTCATTGGATTTAGGATGCGATGTTATTTATAACTCATTTGTGTTAATGTTAAACACATTAATAAATTATTCAACAGTCAATGAACAAATATTCAATGTTAATAATGTTTACATTATGATCTGCTTAATGTAGATCTCTCCAATGAATATTATCACACGAGATTTTAGTAGAAAAAGTATTTTCTTATTTTTTCTAAAAATAAATATAAAATACAAATACGATCAATTTTCTTTGTAAGAGGAATGATAATAAGAAATCATTATAATGTATAAATAAAAAATAAAAAATAATGTCCTTGTAAATGATTACAATTTGAAAAGGAAAATGTAATTTATTGATCTAATTTTGATAAACATTCAAAATGTTTTTAAAAGTTGAATATTTATAGTACTTTACAAATTTGGAGTGAAAATGTTGAACTAAAAAGTACTAAAGCCAAAAGTTTTAGTGTTACATGTGTGTGTGATGCATTAATAATTTATGTTATACATTGATTATAGCTTATTTGTTTATAATGATTGGAACTTGAAAATTCAGAAAATAAAAAATTCTGCATATTGATCATAGATTGAATTTTTTTTCATATTCAAATTTTTTTAAGTTATACTTACTGGCACAATATATATATATATATATATATATATATATGAGATTATCAGTTTATGTTAATGATTTGCATAGGTAAAGATGAATGTACTTCTTGTTGGTTTGGTGTTGATTTCTACGATTATTTTTCATAACCTAAAAAAAATGAGTGTAATGTCATTCATGCATATAACCATCATCTATAAACCATAAATCCTAAATTTTCTCCAAAAAAAAGAAAATATTTCTATATTTTATGATTTCTTCAGTAACATTTGAATGAACTATATATTTTAGATGAGTTTTTTTTGGATTGGAAGAACCGCAAATTCAAGAAATACAGAAAAAAACACAACACACACGTAGATACACATGACGTCAGATTGACATATACTTGGTTCATCATTATCTAACTACTTACACAATATCAATAAGGTTTTAAAAGCTATAAATTACCAAACTGAGCTATGACTTGCTCTGTCATATATATTCAACTTCCCCTTAAGTACGCAAATTGAACCCTGCAGCCTTGTGCGTACTTAACCGGTAGGTGCTTACTTAAGACTTTCCACTCTCAAATCGTCTGCGTTTTGATCCCATGTCTAAGAAATCAAACGGCAAGCGCATGCATGAGTTGCAACGCTGCGAAATTATCTTGAAACTAATCAAGATAAACCTTCTTAGTAAAAGGCCTAGAGCACGGAAATACAACGTTAGCAAAGATGCTATACAAAAAGTTTGGAGAAATTGGGAGTCAATTTTGGAAACATATGCCTTGTTGTCTGACGAGGCTAAGAAGAAGACGTTTTGTGCTTCAGTTGGACGATAAACTGAGCTTGAAGATATATTCTATATTTGGATTGATAGCATGTATCAAAATAATTTCAAAATTAAGCAGGACGAACACTCTTAGTTTCTAGCACGGTAATAGAAAGTTAATGAAGATGCTATACAAGAGGTTTGGGAAAATCGTGAATAGACTTTGGGATCATCTGCCTTGTTGTGCGAGGAGGCTAAGGAGAAGACATTTTGTGCTTCAGTTGGACAATCTACTAAACTTCCATGTCTAAAAAGCTGAATGACAAGCGCTTGAATGAATCCCAACGCTACAAAATCATCTCTAAACTAAGGAAGATAAATTTTCTTAGTAAAAGGTTTCTGAAACAAAAATACAACGTTAGCAAAGATGCTATACAAAAATTTTGGAAAAATTGAGAATAAATTTTGGGAACATCTGCCTTGTTGTCCAAGGAGGCTAAGGAGAAGACGTTTTGTGCTTCAATTGTACGATAAATTGAGCTTGAAGATATACTCTACATTTGAATTGACAATATGCGTCATGCAAAATTTCCTGTATCGTTGTCCCTTGCTATTGCCAAAGCAAAAAGCATTGCTTCTACCTTATAGATTCCAGAATCAAAATTTAAAGCATCATGGCAATGGCTTAGTCGTTTCAGAGTTCGTCAAAAATTACAAAAAGTGCTTCTTCACAGATGAGAGCCAAAGTCGACAAAGATGATACTCAATCGTTAGTAGCTTTGGAAAATTTATACAAGATCATTGAACAATACAAACCTGAATTCTTTTATAACATAAACAAAACTAGGTTATTTTTGATTGCTACCAACATATAGCCTTATGATGCCGGACGAGTACATTTCAATCACAAGAAGCAAAAAGAAAGTCAAAGATTGCGTCTCTTTGGTTGTCTGCACCAATGATGCTTGGACTCATAAAATTCCATGTGCGCTGATCGGCAAATCAAAAGAACCAGCTTGTATCAAAGATCTATAATGGCCCATCCCTAACTATAATCTGTCAAAGTCTTGGATGGATGTAAAAACTTGCTGGAAGTGGTTCAACAAGGTCTTTGCTTATGAAGTTCGCAACCGTATTGGACGTCGAGTTCTTTTGCTCATGGATAATGCTCAAGAACACCTTGATTTCTTCGGACGTGAAAACATTTGTATTGCTTTCTTTCCATAAAATTGTACAAGTTGAAAACATCCTTCTGATATGGACATCATTGCAACACTGAAAAAGAGATACAAATATTTATATCTCAAAGACGTTTTTGACTTCTATGAGCTCGTCGAGTAGACTAAGCAGAAAAAAAAGAACTTGGACAAAGATTATGTGGTGGAGCTACAGGAGCTGATGCTGATCACTTGATGCTACATGTTATGTGAAAGAAGCGTTGGATGCAATTTTTTCCAACTCGATCAAGAATGGTTTCATTAAAGGAGGGTTTCATGAAGTTGAAAATGGATGTCGTGACTATTGACGTTCTTGATAGCATTTACACAGAATTGGCAAAATTTGTTAAATCATTGAATTTATCTTTTGGTCCGTCAGAATTGGAGGACTTTGGATGATAAGAACAATGATGAGTATGCAGTTGTGGTCTTGGAAGACGTTGAAGATCTTCTTGATTTGATGAAAGTCGTTGAGCCGAGAATGATGATGATGACAAAGAGAAACATCAAGAACTAAACGTTGATTTAGCTAATGTCGTTGTATTTTCAGGTTTTGAATCTCTTTATATTGAAAAACATTTGCAATGCACTGAAATTCAAGTTGAAGCTGAGGAAACATTCGATGAATATGAAATATTTCAGAATAAGATCCGGGCAGTTGCTATCAAAGCCAAGTGTAAGAAACTTGACAATTTATGTCAGATGACAATTCATGACATACTTCACTAATAAATGTTGAATCTTGATTTTCATGATAAAAAATACGTACTTAACAGGATGCGTACTTAAGTGGGAGGTGACTGTAGAATGGATAGTAGAAATCCTAAAACTAATCCTACTTTGGATTAGACTAGCTGGAATTATCTATCGATTTGAATTGATATAAAAAATCTTTCCCATAATTTATATTTTAGAAACATTAACCTCCATAATTCTTGTAATTATCTATGTTGAAAATTCTATAGAGAAACTAATGTAAATAGATCATTAAACTAGAGATAATTAGAACCAAGTCGTAGTCAAAATATGATAAACTAAAAATATATAGAGGTAATCAAAATTACTAATAGAATCTATTTTTGCTACTCATGC